ATATATATATTAGATGATGAATTCTCTTAGTTTCTATGTGTGATTATTTTTAAATTTCCTTAGTAAAAATCTTATCTCCATCATCTATCCCATTCAAACACCATAGGATTAAAAACTTAATTAGGACCAATGAACTCGAATAATACTTGGATAAAAGTAATGTTAAAAGATGAGGCAATACCAACTTCAAGTTATCTGTCAATATATTGGAAAGTTGAGACTTAGGATTTTTGTGTTGCAAAGTCTACTCTACAGTAGCCAGGTCGGCCATTCCAGTGCTATTGTCTTTGTCTCTTCTTATTGGGCTGGATCAACTGTACTGTTGATTAAATAGTGTCCATTTGTGGCTGCTAAACCTATCCTCCTTCTTTGGCAGCACTAGTTCAAACTTCCCTTTAAATTTGGAAATTTTACCTCATATACCAAACTATTACATCATATTTATAGTAGAAACCTAGATAATTTTAAAATATTATTACTTATAGCTATCTTTTCTATTTTATAGCAAAATCTGTATTTATTTGATACCTTACTATTGAGGCGTGAAATACACAGTTATGTTCTCTCTCTCTCTCACTTCCTTCTCTCTCTCTTGTTGTTACCCAATTTTGCCCTCATATTTTTTTTTAAAATAGCATATATACTTTCAAAATGTCATCTTTGCATCATTATTTAATTTTTCATAATATTTAGAGCTTTAAATTAATTTTCTTGCATTTAAATTACTCAAATATTTATTAATTACTCCTTCAGATTATTTTGTGATGACTTAATCATCCAAATTTATTACTTACACCTACATATAGGCTCTATAATATTTTACTTTATTTTATATAATTATATTTGTATTTTATACTATTTACACATTATTTGCAATAATAGCCTATAACTAATATTTTATTTGGCAAAATAATTTTTTATTTTGTTATTTAGATTTTTTGTTATTATATTATGATAGAAATGGCAGCCCACTTCCTCCTCCAAAATAGTCTAGGCCCAAAATTACTCGCATCAAACTTGGCCCAAACTCCTATTGGTCCAATAACTCCTAGCCCCAATTAACCCCTTAGCTAATAATCCCCAAATCCTCTTTCCAACTTTTGTCCAAAGACAACCCGTCGGCAATCCTCACCGGCAAACTACCACCTATTTCTTCCTTAATTTGTTACTTTATTTTTCTTAAATATTTTTTATTTTCCTTTCCTTTTTCCTGTTGTAATTTCTTTCCTTTTTCCTATGGTAATTCATTTCCTTTCTTTGTAATTTCTTGCCTTAATGATTCTTCATCATCAGAGTCCTAAATTGAATTGTGAATAGGCCGAGATTTTAGCTCTATTTTTAGTTCAAATTGATATTACACTGGAAGATTTGAACGCTCCTCCTTCTATTAGATGAATCTAGACAAGTGTTGAGGTAAGTGCTTCCTCTATTCTTCCTCTTCTCCTATTAATTTGATTTTAATGTTAATTTTGGAAGTAATCGCCATACTTTTCTTCTTCTATTTTGATACTCTAATTTCGCCCCAACCCCCGAATCCCTTGTCAACCGGATCTTATTTTTTAAAAATTTCAAAACTTTCCTTTATTTGATACATGCCCTAAGTCTAAATCAGTACTATAAATACCACTAGTTTTATACACTAGGGACACTTTTTTTCCCACTGCTTTTACCCCTGCCTCACTGCTACTACAGTTTCTTTTCCTTTCGCTACTTCTATGCTTTGCCGGCCATAAGCCAAGGCAAAGCTTGGTTTTTTTAATCGTTCGATATAATCTGGACGTATCGAGTTTGAGTATTGGTTTCTCATTATTGTTGTTCAAATTTTTGCACGTATTATTATGTACTTTGGAGGGTATCTGTCTTATTTATTGCTGTTGAAGTTACTGAATTTATAATCTTCTTATTATATCGTTATTCCACTCTCCAACTGGTTAATTCCTTGAACGATGCATTATAATTTCTTTATGTGTTAGTTGTTTGGAAGAATAGACTAGTTGTTTGTTCTTTGCTCTCTTAAATTTTCATCCATTTGCGCGCTTTATTTACACTTGGCTATGCCGAATGCCGTGCGACCTTCTATTGAAAGCATGCTAAGTTTAAATGCCCAGTTGCGTCCTTTAAACCTTTTTATGTGCTTAATACTGTTTGTGTTGTAATTTTGGTGCGACTTGACTATAAAATTATAACCAGTTTGACCCGTTTGGATCATTCTTTCAACTAGAGATCATGATTTAGACGTAACTAAATAGATAATAGTTTCGTGTATGTGCAAATTGTTTTTCGGCTAAACTTTAGTCTATATTTGAGTTTCTGCCTTTCACTTAGAATACTATGTCCTTAAGACAAAAAGGATTAATCTGATGTTTCTACCTAAATGATACATGCTTGTTCCATGTGATTTAAACTACCATAATGTGTTCACATAATTATTATATCATTAGGATACGAATCACTATATACCAGTGTTCATGTTAGAAATAATGACTCTCAATGTTAAATTCCATGTTTAAATGAGATAAATCATGATTCTGCCAAAATTTTGCTCAGCACCTTTATGTTTGCTATGAACTCTTACCATCTGAAGATGTATAGCTAAGCCTAGATATTGTGTTACTAGGATACATATTCATCCTAATGTCATGTCTTATGTACTTTATTAATGCTTTTGAAAATCAAGAAGTACGAGTTGATATTGTATTGGTGTCCTATAGTTGGTTTAAGCTTAATTTCATTATCTTGCTTTTTAAGGAATAATCAATTAAGAATTTGATTTCTATGATAAATATGTCTTCGTTGCCTATTTCCTTTGCTATGTTGTGTCTTTATGTGATTGGGATTTGCAGGGGTTTTAAGTTAAGAAATTTAGTCCAGAATTGGACTCTTGAGCCAAGATGAAGTTGCTTGGGATTCTTAGAAAGGAAGTTTAAGAGTTACCCGTATTGGAGTCCACTTAAAGACTGAACCTCTTCTAGCTTCATTTTTTCTATGTTGTATTGTTGGCCTTGTAATTTAGAAGAGGATTGAGGGGTGGGATACTTTATTCTCGCATGAATGCATAGAAAACATGCCTATAGTGTCTATATGCTTTGTTTGTTACTTTATTTGACATGCTCTGTTTTTATACACCGATAGAAAGCATGCCTATAGGAACTTACACACTTCATTTTCTTTACATGTCATATTTCCGTACACGGATAGAAAGCATGCCTAAAAGAACTTAAGTGTTTCACTCGTTCACATGCTTCACTTCTACACGATATTAGATAGCATGCCTATAAGATTCAAACATTATTGATTATTTGCTTAACGTGTGCTATTGCTGTGTGATTGCTAGATAACATGCCTATAGGACCATAATTGATGAATCAGTTACTGTTACTGTTATTTCTATCACGTTGCTCGCCTAGAAAGCATGCCTATAGGAATGAAGTGTTATAGAACCAGTTTCAATTACCAACTTTTAGAAATGCTGCCTATAGGATGTTGTTACTCGCCTAGAAGGTATGTCAATAAAATCAAACGCAGGTAATTTTAAGCTTTCAAACGGTTTATTGCCTCGTTGCGCAAACAATTTAGAGATCATGCCTATAGGATTTATAATACATATAATCTGCAAATTCGTTGTTATGAAACAACAACACTACCTGTACGCTTAAAAAATAAAAAAAAATCACATAGAAGCCATGTCTATAGGGCTCAAATGGCTTTAATTTGCCTCAATTCTGAAACTGTCTAACGTCTAATCTTAGAATTTATTTGTGTGCATTTGTTGTCTAATTGTGGAGGCTAACTTGAGCCCTTAATTGCCTTTACACGAAGTCCAACTTGTTTTGTATGTTCCCTAGTTTTATCATTCTGAGCAACCTAAGAAAAGTCTAGAACCACCCTAAATAGAGGTCCAATGCCTCCTGGACCATAGGTATGGGATGAGTATTGCACATATAGAGCACGACTTAGAATTGAATTAATGCGCTTCAGGTAAACAACTTTAACATTGTAATCGGGTAGTAGGAGATGATAGTCTGTGCCCGTTGAATAATATGAGTAACTTCCTATCTCAAGGGAGTTGCGAAGTATTATTTATGTTGCACGGGGTGATCCTTTAGGCTAAAAAACTTAGGACCACCCCTCCCCCTCTTTTATATGTTGTTATTAGATCCAAATAGTTGTATCCCTATATTCGTACTAAAATCTGTACTAATCATGTTGTAATGAAATTCTTTAACCTTTACATTCGCTTTGTTTATTTGATCACTTAGCCTAATTTTAATCCACATAATCTTAAGTTCGCCCGGGACCCACAGTTGTGGACCTCGAAGAGTGCCTAACACCTTCTCTTTGAGGTAATTTGAGCCCTTACCCGATATTTGGTGACATTGACTAGTCAAACAGAGTCATTTGCATAATAGGTGCCCTAACACACCTTAAAAACCGTTAGGTGGCGACTCTTCTCTTTTAATACCTATCCTCCATTTAAAATAGTTATCACATGTTGAAATCCGCTTTCGCGAGAAAACGGGGCGCGACATCTCTCTCAGCAAGATTCTCAATCATCTCTTTTCTCCCTCAAATCTCTCTCCCTTTTCCATCAAGGCAGCCATCATAGAAGCTGATGTTTGGCTATAATTCCATATTTTTAGTGCATTATTTACCTTATATTTTGGGGTTTTAATGCCAAAATATACTATATTTGTGCTTAATTGAGTTATTTTATGTGTAGGTACGTTGAAGACGAAATTGAGAGCAAAGTAGAGATTTTATGTATATTTTATACACTACAAGAATGGTGCATGATCATTTATTGATTGAAAATATTAGAATGATATTATGGAGCAATGATTGAAGAGACAAATACAAAAGAAGACAAAAGTCAATTGAAAAAAGAAAAAAAAAACGTGAATTTGTAAAGTCAGGCAGCAAATCAACAAAGAGAAACGAAGCAGCAATGACTGGCAAGGCGAGGGAATTGTTGCGCGACAGAGCTCGCGTTGCCAGGGTTGGAGTGAGGTGGAGCACGCTATAGAGGTCGTGGCGCGAGGCCTGTCGCGAGGTGTTCGCGTGTTCCGGGTTTCAGGCCTATTTTGTCTCCTATTTGGTTTTGGATTTGGTTATTTCGTCTAGGTTTTTCCCTACACATATAAATAGTCACTAAACACCATTTTGAGAGGGGATTTGACCTAAGGAGGCAAGAACACACTAGGAGCAAGGTAGGGAATTCTTCTACGAGTTTTTCACTTCCTTCTTCCTATTTCCATTATTGGTTATGAATTCTAGTATTGTAGTTTTGCATACTATTATGAATAGCTAATTTGTTATCTAGAGTTTTGATAGAACCTTTTGTAGGATAAATTATTGTTATGTTTTTATATAATTGAGTCGTTGGATTTCTCTACTTGTTCAACTACGTGTTTATTGTTGTTGATTGAATGGTCATCAATTAACTATGCCTATTTAGTGTGTATATTGCTCGAGAGAGAGTACACATTTAGGTAGTTGTTGAACAACATCACTCCTAACGTATGTGAGAGATCAATACGGAGGGTTTAAAGGTGGGATTAGAGATAATGAAACCTTGATGCGATCGTAGTGAGCGGTGAATTAGTGTCAGCTAGCGTAGTTCGAGATAATACATCTAGTATATTATGGTAGTTGCTCGAGAGAGAGAGCTACGACACCCAAAGTATTCACGATCGGTAGAAAGTACTTAGGCGAAATTATAGAAGGCATAGCGGGAAGGATTCCGACAATTGGAAAAATCATAACTCTAGACCTCCTTAGTCTTGTCTCAAATTTCATCCTTGTTAGTTGATAATTTTACTGCTTTATAATAGTTGTTAGTTAATTAGTTAGAAATAAATATTACAATCTCTGTAATTAGGAAATTGTTTGGACTTGTATTTCTTAGCAATATTGAACAGTTGTAGCTAAGCCTTAGTTCTCTGTTGGGGCTTAGCTACAACTGTTGGATTTGACTCCAGACTTGTAAACCAGATTATATTTGCAACGATCCCTTAGTCCTTTTTATAAGGCATAGTTGGGCGTGATCAAATTTTGGCACCGTTGCCGGGGAACTAACAGTGTAGCTGTAGGTGTACATATTTCTAGGTTGCAAGTTTGAACTATTATTTTTATTTTTTGTATTTGATTTTTTTTAAAATAAATTTTATTTTACTTGTTGATTTGAGAAATATGGCATGGAATTATGAGAGTTTTGGTGTTGGTAATTCTACTATTGATCTTCCTAATGCTTATTGCGGAGGAAACCACCCATTGTAAAATTATCAAAATATTCTCGAGAGCGAGTTATGTGCACCAATTCAATCTTATGTGTGGGATGTATGTGATGTTTGTGGTGATCAAGATGGTCACTTTTATGGTTGTGCTTGTATTTGTTATCTTCCCCCAACCCCATACTATTGTGGTTCTACTTTTTCTTGTGAAGTTAATAGGAACAAAGAACTCAGGGATGATGATCTGAAAGAGATCAAGAATATGCTAAGGTGCCTTATGGAATAAACTAATGAGAAACAACTGCCCATACAAAGTCTATGTGATACTATCCAAATGAAATAGGCAACTATTCATAACCTGGAGGCACAAATGAGTCAATTAGTTGAAGCATTTAATGCTCAACTAGATGTTATTGTGGATAGTAGCCAAAAGGAACATGCATTAGATAACGAATTTGAGGTTCTAATGGAGGAGGTCAAAGTAGAATACCAACAATCAATCAAACTATAATTTGAGGATGTCGATGTTGTAGAAGAGATACTAGAGTCAACCAAGGATATTGATGATACATATTTAGTTGACTCTAGTGTCATTGGTGTTGAGGATGTAGACAGTCCTAATGTTCATGTAGTTGAGCGCATTGGTCCACACTCCAAGCATTTTTCCACATTGTGTTTATATGATGATATAGAAGTAGAGTCATCCGAGCCACATGAGGAGTCAAGGAGTGAGGAACAATGTGCCTACATTCTAGAATTCTTTTTGCCAGAAAGTCGGAATTACACACCTTATCTAAAGGCCAAGAAGTGCAGAATACTACATTATTTCTTTGGGCTAGTTAGATTCGTTCCACCACCCCAGGATCATAATAATAAGTTTGAAGCAAAACTTGGGGTCCAATTCATAAGTTCGAAGTGGAGGCAAAAAGTGGTTCATATCGCGCCACCACATTAACTAAGGCGCTTGTTGGGAGGAGCATGAAAAGCAAAGTTATTGGAAGGATGCAAAAGCAAACCAGATAGTTGGAACTAAGTATGAGGTACCCGCACGAAGGACCAGGCCTGGGAGAAGTCTGAGTACCCCATGAGCTGCTAGTGCTTCGGTCTTTGGCCTACCAGGGAGTTTCTTTTAACCTCTTGTATTTATGGGTGTGCATTGGGGACAATACACAATTTTTAAGTGTGGGGGTGAGGAGATTGTCTGGGTGACTTTCTATGCCATTTTAGTTGTGTTAGTTTAATTAATTAATTTTTTTTCTTCGAAAAATAGAAAAGATTGGACTTTTTCCGACGATGGATCTTCTTGACAGCTTTCTTGAGGGATTTAAGTTTAAAGAAAAAAAATTTCTTTGTAGCTATTGTAGTAATTCATCATTGGTTTTTTTGTGCCGCGCTTCTTTTTCAAGGGTTTTGTTTGAACCAGATGTAGTTAGTTTTATTTTTTAGGAGTAGGAGCCAGTGTGAGATGAATTGAATTGAAGCAATATCTCTAGACTTTGTTATGCCTTGAGAATAGTGAGTACTTTGGTTGTGATGCTTAGGCTCAGCTTTTGACTCTTGTATAAGTAACTTAAATCGTATAATCTTAACTTTGCTTAACTGCTTTGACTAGAGTGTCTTGATGAAACCAATCTTGAGTGAGTTATGTGCCATGTGTGTGTGAGGTTTGTGTGTTATTCTGTGCATTGCATTTGATGTCTAGAACTTGCCCCGTGTGTTTGCAAAGCGAAATAGTAATTTTGTTTAGTCTTGGAAGTGATATATACGTTTCTTTGTTGAGTCAAATATATATAGTTTACCCGCCTAATTGTTATGTAATGTAGTTAACCCCTTTGAGCATGTAATCTTGTTTCTTTGGCAACCACATTACAAGCCTTACCCCTTTGTTTGAATTAACCATCTATTTGAACCTTTTCACAACTCATGAGCACTTGAATTGTTATGAACTTTGTAAAAGTTAAAGTGTGGGGTGGTTGGTTTGGCTTTTGAGTGGAACTAATGAAATAAGGAGAAATGTGCACTGTTTTGAAAAAAATAAAAGGCACTTGAATTGAAAAAGAAAAAAAATTTAGTTTTATTACTGTGAAAAATACTTCTTGATAGTGGTGACTCTTGATGTAATTGTGCTTAAAGAAGTATGTAGTTAATATACACTGATGTAAAGGCGAAGCTATGGTTTGATATAAGTATGTGGTTTAAATGTTAAAGTGAGTGTATTAAAGTGCTTAGGGAGGTGTAGTCACTCTTATATCCAAATGTATCCTACCCGACCCGCAGCCTACATTACAACCAATTAAAGTCCTACTTGATCCTAGGCTGAATGAGCTCGATTAGTAGAGTAGTACATCACAGACAAGCCTATGGTGCATCTTTTGTGACATATGAATGTTATTTGTGAGAGTGAGTGAATTCTTTCCATCTTGAGTTCCTAATTGTTCTTAAATTTTATTGTGTGTGGAATTAATCTCTTTTGTTATGTGAGGGCACTTGATTCATGAGGGAAAGGTAATGTCATTGACCTCTATGTTAGAGTAAGTGAGTGAGTTGTGAAAAATGCATGGTACTTGTGAGTCAAATCTTGAGGTGAAGATGTTACACCCTTGTGCATAGTCTATTTTAAAGATTCTTGGTGTGATGAGTTAGGAGAATTGTTTAAAAAGGTCGTGTCTATATAAAGTATAGTTTGATTGTTCGAAGACGAGCAATGTTTAAGTGTGGGGTAGTGATGTTTGGCTATAATTCCATATTTTTAGTGCATTACTTATCTTACAAGTTTTAATGCTAAACTATACTATATTTGTACTTAATTGAATTATTTTATGTATATTTTATACATTACAAGAATGATGCACGATCATTTATTGATTGGAAATATTATAATGATATTATGGAGCAATGATTGAAGAGACAAATACAAAAGAAGACAAAAGTCAATTGAAAAAAGAAGAGAAAACGTGAATTTGTAAAGTTAGGCAGCAAATCAATAATGAGAAACGAAGCAGCAGTTCTGGCGAGGCGAGGGAATTGTTGCGAGACAGAGCTCGCGTCGTCAGGGTTGGAGTGAGGTGGAGCACGCTATAGAGGTCGTGGCGCGAGGCCTGTCGCGAGGTGTTCGCGTGTTCCGAGTTTCAGGCCTATTTTGTTTCCTATTTGATTTTAAATTTGGTTATTTCGTCTAGGTTTTTCCCTACACATATAAATAGTCACTAAACACCATTTTGAGAGGGAATTTGACCTAAGGAGGCAAGAACACACTAGGAGCAAGGTAGGGAATTCTTCTACGAGTTTTTCACTTCCTTCTTCCTATTTCCATTACTGGTTAAGAATTCTAGTATTGTAGTTTTGCATACTATTATGAATAGCTAATTTGTTATCTAGAGTTTTGATAGAACCTTTTGTAGGATAAATTATTGTTATGTTTTTATATAATTGAGTCGTTGGATTTCTCTACTTGTTCAACTACGTGTTTATTGTTGTTGATTGAATGGTCATCAATTAACTGTGCCTATTTAGTGTGTATATTGCTCGAGAGAGAGTACACATTTAGGTATTTGTTGAACAACATCACTCCTAACGTATGTGAGAGACCAATACGGAGGGTTTAAAGGTGGGATTAGAGATAATGAAACCTTGATGCGATCGTAGTGAGCGGTGAATTAGTGCC